AGAGGCTGTGAAAATAGGTTTATGTGCATGTGTCAGAACTCCAGAAAGCATGCATGGGCTGTGTACTGGGAAGCCTAGCAAGATGAGCGTTGGGGAGGGCATCGGCCGTGATGGGCAGTCCTCGTAGCAAAGTAGCTAAGAGCTCAGCCAGGAAGCCAAGGAGCCAGTTCTGCGAAGGGCTTCAAAGTGTGTTAAATTGGGGAAATGATACGGTCTCTCTGTCGCTCGGATCCCTCATCTGAGGTTCTCGTGAGGGTTAAAGACAGTGTATAAAGCACTGTGCCCAGCATAGAGTAAGTGTCGAACAAATTTTAGTTGTTGTTGCCGTATGTGCAATGGGATTGGGGGTGTGCTGTTCTTTAGACACTGAACACCTCCTCTGTCCTGGGTATTCTCGGCACTCAAAAGAGTCTGACGTAGGGCTCTTGCCCTTGAGAAACTTATCTTTTTCTCAAGGAAGACTAAATTATACATGAGAACAATGAAATAATTAAGAAGCACATTACTATGGCACTGGCTATAAATAGGAGTTGAGAACGGAAAGAGCACGTGAGCAGGAGCAGTCAGATGACTTAGGGGCAACTTGAGGTCTTTCTCTGAGCTGGGACGTAGCCAGCATCTGGATGGCTAGAGATGAAGATGCGCTGAGGTATTTACGGAGCTCGGCACCATGATAGGCTCTAATTAAAAAGATGAAAAAGATGTGGTCCCTGTCCCCTTGGAGTGTGGGGGCTGGGGTGAGGGTCGCACACTTGCCAATGGATAGATCGTTAGGATACTGCGTGGCCGCGTGCCCATGCTGTGCTAGAGGTGCATGTGCCATAGGGACGGAGAGAAGCGGCACAATCCCGATGGGGTTGTGGGAGGCCCCCAGGGGAGGTGACATCTGAGCAGAGACTTCTGGGACTTAACTAGGGGAAGAAAATGGAACTGACATCAGCAAAGAGGCTCAAAGGGAGGCCAGAAAAGAGCACCGTGACGGGGAGGAGGGTACTAGACACATTAAACGGCATGGTGTGCTGTGGGGATTGCAACTCGGTCCGTGCTGCTGGAATAAAAATGCAAGATCTGGGCGGATTTTACAATGATCTGGGCATGAGGTGAGGCGAGTGTGTTCTGGACGAAGTCAATGCCAGTGGGAAAACAGAAAGCGTGGGCCTTAAAGACGCCTCTGAAGTGGGTGGATTTAAGGATTGAATATAGGAAAAGGGAAGCTTTCAATGTTGCTTTTCTAGGAGCTCCTTTCCCGAGTAGAAGGGAGGACTTTTGAAGTCACTGCATTCAACCCCTTCGTTTTGCAGATGAGCAAGGGGGCCGAGTTGCCCATGTACCCAACTAGTTCAGGGTAGAGCTGGGATCACGAGACCATGTCCAGATCCCTGACAAGCACTCCTGGCATTGTGTCATGCCGACACATTGAGATTGAAGTGACCCTGGGCCCCTAAGCACAGGTGTTCTCCAGGAGGTTGGAAAGACTGTTTGGCACCCAGGTGAGAGGAGAGGCAAGCGACCCCGTGGTTGGAGCCAAAGGAGTGGTCGGAGGAATCCCCCTAGAAAAAGAGAACCTCTGGGGCCTAGAAACATCTCTAGAGCCTGGCAGCTGCCCATGGGCATTAGATGGAGGTCAGACCCTGATGAGGTATGCTAGCATCAAGCATGGTGTAAACAGATACGAAGTAAGGGAAACGAAAGGCTTTCACTTGAAGAAAAGACAACTGGAGTGGCTCTTTGAAAGTTCCAGAAAAGACTGTGAACATGGTGGAAATAAGCTAATTATAAACAGTTACTGTGGGCTAAGCACAGATCCAACTGTTATACTGAAATTTAGTCTAGTTTGGGAGGTACAGTGCCAAGCTGCGAGAGAGTACAAGTTTAAAGGCACAAAGATGATAGATGGTTTGACAAGTAACTAAAACCGTAAAGAATCACGAAGAGAGTGACGGAGTCACTCTCTTGCAAAGTATTGTGGCCACCTTCAAGAGCGACGGGATTGGACTGGCACTGTCACTTAAGCGTTTAGGTTAGATGTAAATCATTTGTTCTCAGATCCTTTTCAGAAGCCTCTGCAAACAATACAGGTGATAAAATTCACATGAGATCTTGTCTCAAAGTAGAAGAAAGAAAGACTTCATGGGATGATTTTCTGCCCAGAATCCTTTCATAGTACATTGGGGAGTGAGGGGGAGAAAGATTCATATTTTAAATGTTTAATAAAATGTTTTTGATACATGACGTAAGGCTCAAGATAATACTCGTTCTGTGCCTAATGTACAGATTCGCAATGCAGCTAACTCCTCTTAATGGCTTGGTAATTTTGTTCCTTCATCTTTTTTTCCAAGGGTAGAAAAATGCTGCTTTTCCCCTCATTGAACATCATTGTGGACCAAGGCTGCTCTAGCTTGTGAATCACTTCCTTGAGAGAAATAGGTTGTTTGCAGAGATGAGTGGTGTCGTGATTATAGTTAAGAAAATCCATGAAATATAAGTACTGTTATCCTAGAGAAGATTCAGAAGAGAACTTAAGCACATAAACTACAGTAGTTAGAGAATTTTAAGACAGAAATGAAGAGTACCGATTCTATTCCTTGATATGTCCAAAAGACTTTAGTTTTTGTCTTTATCTGCCATGCAAGTCCTTCATGAAAAAATAATTTTGGTTCTGCACAGTCCTTTGTGGAGAACGCAGCCTAAAATCTGCTGGAGAAATTTTGGATTAACTAATAGAATCTCTAGAGTGCTGCTCAGAACCATGACTATCTAGATATTAGGAAGATAATTTTCTTTGTTTTTAATAATTAATTGAACTATTTTCAGAGTAATTTATTCCCTGCTCGCCTTAACTTTAATGAGAATTTCACTTTCCGTCTGTGTGACATTTGTTTGACTTATTTTACATTCATCAGATGATTCACTCTTTTACCAGGACAATTTGTATTTTAGCCAGCTAACATTTTTTATTTTAGTCGGTTAAGGTACCAGTTATACCAAATAAAGCCCATGGTGATTTAGGTGATTTTCATCATTTATAAGAACACTCTTATAAATCCTTTTAAATTTGACTTCCAGCCCGGGGAACAGCTCCCTCCAGAGATGACTGTGGCACGACCTTCTGTTAAAGAACCTTCCAGAGAAGGCACCTCTTCATTCCATGCGCGGCAAAAGTCTGAGGTCTGAATTCTCCAGAGTTGCTACCTTTTTTGTGATAAAACCTGTCTGTGAAAATTGGTCATTCAGCATCATTACAGCCTATCTTTTAAAATTTATTCATACCCAATGTCCCACAAATAATTTCAACTGTCTTATAAAGTAAGTCGTTTTCTTCATGTCATAATTCTGAGTTTTCTCTTGAAAAGATCCTCGAGTAAATTATAGATCAGTGAGGCACTGTTCTCAGTTCACAGGTGGTTTATCTAAGCCTGTTTCCTGTCTCAGGGTGGAGCGTATCATGACCCTCACTCAGACGATAGCACCGCCCCCAAAGAAAATAGACATCTATACAATGATCCGGTTCCGAGGAGAGTTGGCAGCTTCTACCGAGGTAAGCCTGACCCCTGGCCCCCAACAGGGTCCTCTCTCCCGTCCCCCTCACCACACCGCCAGCCCGCATCCTCCACTGCACTTCATTGCCTTGACTTCAGGTCAGCATCATCCTCACCTGCCGTTACCTTCTCTCGCTTCTCCCTTCTGACACTTCTCCCAGCTTCGGGTCTCGCTGTCTCAGTTCAGATCCTCGAGGCTTCTGACTTGGGTTCTTTGAGTAGCCTCCCAACTGGTCTCCCTATCTCCAAGATCACCATCAGAATGGTCCCTGGAACGATCCTTCTGAAGCTGTGTTCTGACCACATCATTTGTTCATTTGATTAACTGATAAAATACTTATTGATGTCACCTGTGCGCCTGGCACTGTTCTAGTTTAAAACGCATCAGTGAGCATGACAGCTAAGGTCTTCACCCTCATGAAGCTCACATTCTCATGGGGAGAAGACATCGGTAAATGCAATAATTATATAGAGCAGTAAAAGGTGATAAAGGCTACAGGAAAAAAATAGAACAAGGCAACCTATCGCCCCCCACCGCCCCACTCCCAGTCCTCTCTCTCTCTCGCTGCTGACAGTCCTCTGGTGTCAGGACAAAATCCGAATTCCCCATGATGGCGTTCCAGACTGTCCATGCCCTGACCCTGCATCCTTTCCCGCTGCTTTCCCTCCTCCCCAGTGCCCAGCCCGTAGGACTGACACAGGCCTCCTCTGGCCTGAAACTCTCCTTTTGCTGCATGGATAGCTTGTTTCTGTCCTTTTTAAGATTCTACTTTCAGGTCATCTGTTCCACCCATGGTTCCTTGTCTAGGCCTCTAACGTGACACAGAGCACACACAGTACTGATTCTTTGTCTGCATTTCTCTCTCACAAGGTGGCAAGACCCTTTATCTTTTCCTCTTTCACCCTCATTGACTAGCACACTGCCTGGCAGTTTTATGAATATTTGTTGATTGAATGAAAGAAAATCAAATGGACTTGCACAGCCTTAAAAATGTACTTTGGTGTTTAATAGACAACTAAAACAGATGCTTTGGAGGCTGTATGGACTTTAGGAGATGTTGACAGAGAAAGGCATCCCCTTTGAGCAGCTGGGTGTTAATAGAGTGGGAGCCGCTGGGGAGCCCCAGTCCCTAGTGGGGAGACAGACAGCAAGCCTACCAGGATGGGGCAACGTCCTGGGTCCCGGAGGCCCAGCTTCTCAAAGCCTTCAGGGATCACCATGGCCTTCTACAACCACTCACAGCGGTATTACCGGGCTTCTCACTATTCTGTTGATTTTGTAGAACAGCTGGAAAGGGGCAGGAAGTGGGGGGGGTGTCATGGACACCTGTTTAGTCATTTTAACCAGGAACCAAGCTAAATAAATACATACAACTGTTATGCCTGACTAAATGTATGTTGAATGACTAGGCTACTCTGTTTTCTCCTGGCCCCACCTTTGAAAAAACCATAAGGCATTGAATATACCTTTTAATGCATTTCTTTTTGCTGATGCCATGGTTATTTTAGAATCTTATGGGACTAAATTTTAATTCAGGTTAATTAAAACAAAATATTGTAGTAGTATACATGAGCAAAAGTCTTTTCTTCTGTTGCTCTAAGTTTTACTTCCAAAATAGACCATACATGTGTTATTTCTATAGATGTCTGGAGAATATACTTTAATATAAAACGTTAACAGAATTTAAAATTAATTAGTCTTTGATCTCTGGAAAGTTTTTATTTTGATTGCAGGTGAATTAAATCAGTTAATATCAGCAAAGCTCATTTGTCTTCCTCATAATCCACTTCAGGGTTTTGCAGGCAGAACATTTTTATTTTAGAAAGTGTCGAAATAGAAGGAAAAGATTTAACTAGGTGAAACATCTAGAGACAGCTGCCATTTCAATGATGTTACTAAATCTAACTGGATGAAGATATAATGATATCACCAAAATGACATGTGTCCAGCATACTTCCCATTTTCAGACCTACTGGTCAAGAGTCAAGAGAAATGGTGTCATTTATCTTGATATACAACCTGTATATATATACCTTTTATGGTGAAATTTGCAATATATTTTGATTTATGACCAAGCTTAGAAATAGACAGAAAAAGATAGTAACCCCCCTTCCACGCCCCCAAAAAGGGCAGAAAAGTATTAACTCACATACATTGTGGTTTATCTTTCTGTTCATTCCTGGATTGAGAACTTAGAGGAAAAAATAGTATTTTTGTGCAGATAACTGAATTTCTTTGGAATTTACTTTAAAAAATATAAAATTGATGCTGCCTCCCAGTTGTCAAGGCTTAAACAGTAGTTTGTATTTTCCAGCACACATGTTAAGAATCACTTCAGACTAAGAATAGATTTTGTATAGTTGGGTCTATGATGTAAGAAAGCCTTGACTTCAAAGAATTTCAAAATAGTAAAAGGGGGGCTTGTCACATTCGTACTTGTAAATATCCTGTAGTGTTTTTCAATTTGTCAGCTGACAGGTCAGTTTATATTGCCTGGTGATGTATATCGCCTGGTGTTAACTAACCCTCGCAAGTTATTCTTGTAAGCAGTGTGGTTAGGGAGAATGTCCCCTGGAATGCCTCTGCTCTCAGAAAACACGAAAGTTATCTGAAGGGCAGACGAGGGTTTCGACTTACCTGTTTGTGTGTTTTATTTGTGTGAGAGAAAATGCAGTAGAATAACTTGAGAACTGCTTTGACCAAAAGAGCACAATAGTGACTAACTTTTTCTTTTTTCAGTGCCGTCTCCACGTCCAGAAAATTCTTTCCATGAGAATAATGTGTCAACCAGAGTTTCATCACTACCATCAGAAAGCAGTTCTGGAACTAACCACTCAAAAAGACAACCAACGTTCGATCCATGGTGAGTGCTTTGGTTTGTTTTTACTCTTCTTTCTTCTAATTGGAGATTTGAAATTTCAGAGAAATTCTGGATAAACTTTTTAGCATATTTTTTCTCCTGCTAGGCCTCTCTTTCTCAAGAGAGATTGCCTGTTAAGGAAAATGTAATTTGTCATTATTTGTGATGGTTTCTTTCAAGTTCCAGCACACACGTTAAGAATATCAAATAACAGGAAAAGAAAAAAAAAAAATCTCCTGGGTCAGTAAATGCCTCAAAAGCCTTCCACTTCATTGCGTTCTTCTGACATGGTTGATAGTCTCTCACTGTCCCCTCTTTCGTTGCTGTTGAATTACGTAGCAGACACTTTGCTTAGCACTTTATGTGCCCATGTCTCACTCGGTTCTCACGATCATCCTTTGAAGTAGGGGTGGCTCCCATCCTACAGATGAGGAAACTGCAGCTTAGAAAAGGTTAAGGGGCTTGCTTGGTGCTAGACGGTCCGTAACAGGGAGGAGGGAGCCAGAATCTAGACCTACATGGGTTCTGACTCCACAGCTCGTCTTGCACCTCTGTGCCACCTGACTATTTTCAACGTGAAAAGGTAGAAATAGGGGAACCACCCTTTATGCCACCACAAAAGCATAGTGGCAGCTAGAGGTTAAAATGAAGCGCCAGCTTTGCTTATCCTTTTATCTTCTTGTGTCATGTGTAATAAAAATTTAGGGAGAGAATTATAACATGTCGAGTCCCATTAGCAGATCTGTCTGGGGCGTAAGGACTTTTTAAAAATCATAATGTGGACTTTATATTCTCAGCTGCCCAGAAAGACTGTCTAGAATCTAGATGTGAGGGATATTTGTTTATGTGTACTTCATAGAAATACCATGCTCTCTACTAAGGATGAAATGGTGCATCACTGTAACACACCAAATTTAGAATAAGACCAGTCTGTCAGAGAGCCCATCTCTGGTGTTTGTCGCCAGAAGTCACAGAGGGCCTTAGGTCAGTTTTCCGGACCCTATTGGCAGGATTATGTTGAGGTTTCAGTGTTACTGTGCCCTATGGTGAGCATGACTAATTATTTTTTAAAGCTGTGAATACTTTTTCTTTCATAAGCATACTTTCCATCCATTGCCTTATTTATAAAATGAGAGTTTTAACATTAGTGACTAAGAGGTTAGACTCTGGAAATAGGTTATCTTTATTAATGTCTCCTTCTGGCCATGTGACTTTAACCTCTCTGCGCCTTGGTTTCCTCATCTGCAAAACAGGGCTAGGAAGAACACCTCCCCTGTAGGGTTAATGTTATCATTAAATGGGGTAAAACATCAAAAGCACCCAGAGCAGTGTCTGGCACCTTGTGACTTGTTAATGTCAGCAGTTTTTATTGTTGACGTCCTCTGACTAGAGTATGACTTGTCAGGTGTCTCCCCTCCCCTTACTTTGCTGATAAACTTTGGTGCATTCTTTCTCCATGTGACCGTAGACAAGATCTGTCCATTAACCTGGGAGCACAGGTACAGCGTGTTTTAGTTACCAGCATTGACGGTTTTCCAGTGTGGCTTTAACAAGCCATGAAAACAGTGTATAAATTATGAGAGTACGGAAATACAGAAGGAATTGTTTTTCCTCTTGGTCATTGCATAATGAAGTAATGATGGTTTAAAAGAGCATCAATTACAGACGAACAGAGTCCTGTGAAAATTAGGTAGGTCAGATCAAAACTGAATCCAAATGTATGATAGGTAGTATTAACAGCGTACCGTTTCTGTCATTTTGATAATGTTTGAGTAGAGCTTGTTTAGATCTGGATATGTATAGAAACCTGAAAACAGTTCTAAAAAGAATTAGAGGCACAGTTGGGACGTTGACCTTTAGAAAAGTCTCTATCGAATCATCCATACTCTGATACTGCTGTTAGGAGGCTTGAGAGAGTCCCAGAATTACGAGTGATGAATTGTTATATTCTTTTATTCCCACTGCCCCTCCTGATAATGCTGCTATGATACTTCTTCATGGATCACATCTAACTTAGTCTGAGTCATTCATTAAACTTGTCTTGATTTTTTTTTTCTTGAACAAGATCTCGTTGGTTCACCATATTGTGTATATTTGAGAGAAACGCAGTTTGATAACTTACAAAAACGTGAACGAGCCTTGCTGTGGTAACAGTGCATTGCCGTTTTTAAATTATCACTTACCTAAGGGCAATCTGTTTCTCCTTGATAGTAGTTCTTTATATTTCTTTTGAGAAGAGGATATTTGTACACTATACATTTCTTATAATGAGATCAAAGCTATATGTCATATTTTAAAGTGATAAATAGATATCGTAGTATAATACCCAGAGTGGTTATTCCGGCCATCTCAGCTATATAGAATCCATTTAAGAACTGGGAGATAAGCCAAAATATCTCAGAACAAGAAAAATGCAGTCATGTTCATCATCTATACTAATGGGAAAACACTTGGACCCTATAAGCCTGTTTATTCTTCTTTTATGCACAAGTCTAGCAGTTGGAACTGAGGTTGTCAGGCAAGAAGTCGTTCCAGGTAACAATACAGTGTGCAGAGGCAGAATGACCCTGCACAATAGCTGTGGAGAGAAGAGGAGTATTTTTGCCTTTTCTCAGGCCCTCAGTGGGAAAATCATTTCTGGCCCTTATGGTTTCATAGATAGACTAAATATCCATGTAGAGTGTATACTTATAAAATAGACTGCTCTTACTTTGCTTAAGAAGATAAAGCGTATAAATACATTTAGAAAGAGTGCTGTCAAAATCGGGTTAAAAATTGATGCTTAAACATATTAAATCAAATTAATTAGAAATCCCAGTAGTTAAGTGAAGAATTGCTGTCACTTGCTCAAATCAATCCCAGGCTTTTTCTTCTTGTGAAGTTAGAATATATTGATATCCATTATCAATTGCCACCACAATTCACAAAGTTATTCAATGACTTTGTGTTCTCACACATTAACTGCCCACCCTAGTCATACTGCCTGCCACCTCCCCTCCCCTGGCGAAGTATCAGAGTAATTAATGCCCCTCTCCTCTTCGACTTACCTTCACGCTGTTCCCAGAGCGATTATACTGAAGCCCCGGAAGTCTGACCCTCTGTCAAAGCTGTGGGTCTCCTGACTTGAGTCTGTGAGCAGCTCAAAGCCACATTCCTTTTTTTATTTTTCTCTGTAGTTCCAACACCTAACACAGGGCCTGGCACATACAAAGTACTCTCTAAACGTTGGTTGACTTTGATTCAGTTAGTTTTAATTCCTTCCCTTTTTTAGATGAATCTTTTGAATTCTCTTTCCTTTGACCACTTAAAGAATAGGTGTTGTGTGAGATAGTGCTTGAGTCCCCATGACTCTGCAGGAAGGAGACCGTTAGCCCCACACCGTCATCACCTCCTACCCCCATTTTATCAGCCCTGGATAATGTGCCAGGCGACTAGCTGGCTGGTCCCTCTTAAAGCCCCTGTCCCTGAGATTTATGTCATCACCCACCTGCCCTTCTCTTATGCTGCTCCTCTTGGACTTGTTGGCTGTGCAGTTAGCTTGCTCCGCTCAGCTCAGCACATAACTGTAGAATGGCAGGGTCCAGAATTCAAACTTTGGATAAATTATGGGGCACACTCTTACCCATTAGGTGCAGTACTAGTTGTAAATGTTGAAGTCTCATTCTTCATTCTTTTGTAAGATACTCAGCTTTTCAGATGCCTGCATTCCAGACAGCTTCTCTATATCTCTGTCCCTCTCTGAGTCTCTCTCCCAGGATTTTTGTCCCTTCGGTTTCTCTGTTAATTCTCTATATGTGTATGTTTCAGTGTAGCTTCTCCCTGTTTTTTTTTTCTTTCTTTCTTTCTTTCTCCCACTTACGCTCTTTCTCTTTGTCTCTGACTTCCTTTTGTGTTTTGTGTCACTCCCTTGTGATGCACGCACACTCGCGCTTTCTCCTAACTTTTCATTCTCTAGTTCAAGGGTAATTTATTTCCTTTTTTGTTTTGGCCTCTGGGATCTTTCCCTGCCTGGATCTTGGCCCCATCACTTTTGCTCAGCTTCAGTTTGAAGATGTTTTCCTCATCACCCCCCATTCCCCTGGGCTCTGGTTTATCCAGTGTCTCTGAAAAGACCCCACAGGGGTCTTTGATTCATCTTTCCTATTTTTGCAGTCATAAGGAATCCCAGACACTGGGCTTTGTGTCCTGCTCCTCTCATTACCTTTCCATCCTCTCACTCTCATCTTATTGGATAGACTCTTCTTCCCATCCCATATCCTGCTCCTCCTAGGACCAGTGTCTCAAGCCATCACTTACTCTCACCAGCATTAACATTCTTCTACTGACACCCATTCCTGTCCTGAGATTGCAGTTATGATGAACGTGTCCCCCTTAAAGACTTCCTGGATTGGCAGAAAATACTGTTACTACTGACCCTCAACAGGCCTTTGAGATTTTGTTAGACTTTCATTCTGATTGGTAAAATCTTCTACCTGTTAATCCGAAGACTGTGCTGTGCAGACCCCATTATGGAAGGACATAAGCCATATAATAAGCAAATAATTCTTTAACTTCTAGAAGTTTCAGAACATTAAAGATAGTATTACTGGTTGGACTAGATGCTCTCTGAGGTTCCTTTCAATCCTACGGTCCTGCTTTTGCGATAACAGTGAACTACGCTGTTCTGCTGTGCTCCCTAGAACTCGCACGTGACTGAGTGCTGCGGCCTGGAATTGAGTTTTGGGCCATCTGTCTTAGGCCTCATGCAAGATGGTTTCATTTCCAGAATCTCTAAAGTGCTTGTCATTAGAATCTTCAACTGAATTCCCAGGGTCGTCTAGGCCCAGCCCATCGTTGGGATGGCAGTGCTACAACGCTGAACTTAAAGTCTTTGACTTTTCACTGTTCCATTCTCACCCATTCCATCATGTCTGAAATCTTCTAGCTTTCAAAATTGTAAATGTATCATTCAGAGTTCCGACAATAGATATTTTATTGGTTGTGTTGTATTACAAAACTTTCGCTTCAGAACTTGGGACTCTCTCAATGATGTTTAAACTTGCAGGTCCTAAAGAAGATAAAAATAAATAAAATAAAATTGCAGATCCTAATGAGTTTCAGGAACACTTGGGCCTGCGGTGCATGTTTTCACTTCCTTGGTTCCCATTAACTTTAGGCTAAACACTTTAAAGGAAATGATCACTGGTCCTTCAAACGGGCATGATTTATTTACTTTCTGTTTCTTCTCAATCTCTTTCAATCTCTTCCATGGTTGTCTTTGATCTTCAGTTCTTGGTTTTTCAAATAAATTTTCTGTAGATTGTAAAACCTTTTTTATTATATCTGCAGTGCATATTTGTTGTTGAAATTAAAAAGGATTATAAGTCACCAATAATCCTACTACCCAGAGATGAAAGCTTTTAAGATTTTATTTTTTCATGACTTTTTAAAAATGTGTAAATATGAACATATATATATAAATGAATGTTTTTTTAGATACAGTTAAGCTTATATTATGCAGAAAGTTTTGAATCCTGCTGTTTTCACTTAGTATTGTAGTTTTAATATTTCTTCATATTAGTGAAGATTCCTTGAAGATGTGATTTATTTTTAATAGCTTCCTAGTGCTTTCTATCAAGCATATCTGTAATAGTTTATAGAAATATTTTCTGCCTTCACACAGATTTAATCAAGTAAAGGATGCTGCTTTGCTCGTATTTTCTTGGATGTTCTAGTAACTTTATCACTGTTAGGCGTTCTAAAACCATAATATGAACAAACTATCACCCTTGATGTTCCTACTCTTGATTTTAGGGAGTAGCTAGTAGAAGGAATCAGTCATTTAAGAAAATGGTTTTCCACGATCATATAGATATTCGAGTTTAAAATAGAGCCCATGGAATATGCCTTTTTGAAGAATAATACCAGTTCAATTGCTTTATAAAGACTAAATTAAATTAAGTAATATAGGGCTGCTGTTAACAAACAAGTAGCCAACTTGTTCGGGCCAAGGTGTCTTGTTTGCTGTCCTTTTT